TCAAAATAAAAGATATCCTTTATTTGTGCGAAGAAAATTCAATTTATCAGATAATAAATGAATACATTTAAACCCCGATACTCTTTTCAATCCTTTTTGCAAATATTTTTAGATGGAGCTACCAATACGTTGAGCTATTAATTTACTTATCTAAATCAATCTACGATGCCGTTAAAAATGTTAACAATACCATTTCTTTTATTAGCATTATATGTTGTTTTTTTAACTAATATAATTGGAATCATTTATCGTTAAACAATCGCTATAAGGTTTGCCGATGCAATTATCGGTCGTTTTAAAGATAGCACGGATATATTAAAAACTAATGTTTTTGAGATCTAATTTCATTGATTTAATTGAAATTATATCTGCAGACAGATTTAGATAAGATTATACTCGACAAAATTACATTTTTCCAGAGTAATTTACTTAACGGTACACTCGGTATAATAGATACTCAGAATAGTACTCTACAAGTGCTTTCGACAAATAATCGCCCATCAAGATCATTAAAACGATGCCGGACTGACGCGAGAAGAACGATTTAACGCCAACAACAGGCTTATGCAATCCCTCTTATACGTTTACCGCGGCTTTATCTCGAAGTTTATTTAGAACATGTTGGGAGCACCTGCCCGCGGTTAGGTGCACACCGGCATCTTACAACGTAGCGAGGTCTGTACTAAACGAAAAACGTGGCTTAACGATTCAACGCCGCTACCACATGGCGGTGTCGATATGGCGGTTCCATCTGCGTTAGATACACGCGTTGGATGTGTGTATATATATATCTTTTATAAATCCATTCGTCGATCTACCTGCTTTTCTCCAAGCAGAACTCAACCAAGAGTTTCTTTCACCTTCGTCTACCCGTATTGCTTCTATTGTGCCTCCCCAAGCTCGTTCTTTCTCACACTTTCTCTGTGTATTTATATATCTGTCCTTCTTTCTCTTGTATTCTTCCCCTCGCACACCATTATCTTACATCGCCCTTTCGTCATCTCATTTTACCGTTCTATATCTCTCGCGCGCTCCCCTTTCTTATCGTATATACGGGAGATTTGGTAATTGGTAGAACAATAGAAAGAGAACAATTTCGGAGGGTGCGAAAACTCCGAATATACTTCGAAACCGTACTATATACCGTATTATCGTACACGCTACATCTATTTTATTTTTACGAGAGACGCAAACAAAAGCTTATTCGTCCCTCGTAAATAATTTTATTTAGGATTTCGCGAATTGTTAGATTTCTTTTTCATCCGCAGACTCTTTGATCGACTTAACGTTGAATCTAAATAATATAAATTTCGTATTAATCAACGTGTGTTTGTGCAGATGAAAAGAGTAATAAGAGACATTCTGTATAAATAAAAAAAGAAATCGACATCGCATGATAATCTCACTGCTAAATAAAGGATATTAATTCTCTTATAAGTAGATTTAAACACATTTCGTGTAAACAAAACAGCTATCGTGTAACAAATATTTCCTGAAATGCCTTTCAGATAAGTTAATAACGAATTATTTCATAAAGTCCTTCTCTCAATAGCAGATTTAATTTAATCTCCCTCCGTTCGGTTCCCTCTCGAAAACCGAGGTGGGAAATCGAGGTGGAAAATCGCGAGTGTTTTTGCATCCTTCCTCACGGCGTTCACGAGCACGCTTCGCGATCAATCTTGTTTCGAGGCGGTGGAGTGGTCTCTTTATCGTGTCGGCACGAAGGAAAAATTGGAATCATGAGGAGAACGCCGAGCGAAATAAGACGAGGAAGATGCGGCGATGCGATACGCGGCGTCTCGAAGCGACTGCCATTTATTTGTTCCAGCCGCGCCGGCGAGGAGAGTCGATCATTCTCAATTAACGCTCTCCCTCGTGACCGCCGCTAAATTATACCCGTCTCGTACCTTCTGTCTGCCTTCCGCGTGGGCGTCGCGTGTTTATTAATCTCCGCGCGTTGCGCGCTGCGCGTTAATTGCCCGTAAATGAGACAGAGTTGCGTTCGTTGGCGCTCGATGAACTCAATGGCTACCGCGATTCGGCATAAATTCCTAATTAATGGATTTATTTCCGCAACAACGCGTACCTTTCATATTTGTAAATCGTAGCAACTTTATGCTTTGTAACTTTTCGCAGATTGATTTCTATTTACATGATTTCCATTTATATTTGTATTTCATTTATATATTAAAAGAAATTGTATACAGTAGTTATTTAAATTAAATAATTATAATTGTATTATTTAAAAAAAAATAAATCTGTAGAACTAAGGAAAAATATATAGTAATTTGTGAGTCTATTAATATATTCACGTTTTTATATTTTATATTTGTTTACTTTATTTGGCACACGGAAAAAAGAATTAGCTACCATAGCTAAATTTTAGCTGTCCATATATTATAACCTGAAATTTAGTTATCGTGCCTAAATTTTAGCTATGGTAACTAATATTTTTTAGCCGTAGCTTAACGGAGAATGTTATAGCTAAAAAATATTAGTTGTCATAACTAAAATTTAAGCATGATAATTAAATTTCATGTGTAATATATGAACAGCTAAAATTTAGCTATGGTAGCTAATTTTTTTTCCGTGCACTATACTTATTTTACGCGTACTTTGATTTGGTTTTTATGCAATAAACAACTCGCAAGACAAATTTCTCAGACATCTGAATACATAGCTACATCGATTCTCTCGCACCAAGCTCTTCTATTTTCTATTCATGATACTTTACACCAATTTGTGGAATGGATGGTAATTCATAATAACGGTAGTCGACTCATATTCTAGCATCTCTGGGCTTCGCTACCGTACCATAAGCGTAATGCAATGAGGATGCATTAAAGGCAGCGGCGCATATTCAAATCACGTCGCGGTCGATAAATATGTAGTGAGCTCGTATGTTCCGACAGTAAAATGCTACACTTGGTGTAGTTGATTCGTATTGCGAGATAAAGGTGATAAACCGAATACCAAGTACAAGTTATGCAAAAACAAAGCATTTTATATAAAATCATTTATATAAAATATGATGCATATTTGTCAAGTTGATTTTTTAAATCATCTCTGTTGTTCGATCTTTTTTCTGAACTATTAATAAAAATAAAAAATCTAATTCTAAAAGAATATTTACAATATTGTGTGTGTATATATATATTTATGATTGCATATTTTATAAATATTTTTCATCAAAATTTGTAACTATTTTAGAAGAGCTCCAGAAGGGACAAATTTCAATTTATACAACGAAATTATTCAACCTTTTGTATCGCTTTTCAAACCGCGATAAAAAAAGAGATAATTAGATCACACTTTTCTACATTTTTCTACAGTTTCAAATTTTGTCGAATTTATATATCCGAACTTCTCTTGTCGGGACTGAAACATACTGAAAAAGGGAGCGCGTGGTGTCACATTTGCGCTAACGAGAACATTCATAAATCCAACCGCCGGGTTTTTTATTTTTTACGCAAATGAAATTCGCGGATTTACGGGGCGAGTATCGGATATTTGATATTGATGTCGTTACACACCGACGGCGTTGACATTTTATCGCGTATGCACATGTCACGATTTATTATCGATAAAGAAAGGCAGAGAAAAGGCCCTATTTGTACAACGGCAATTATAATTTTTCGCCGAACTTGTATTTCGATCGATCTGCAAACTGCATGTCCGACGACGCGATAAAATCGATGAAGACCTTCGACTCGCGCCGATATAAATCACGGGAACGACTCCAGATGTTGCTTGCGCCTTATAATGGGGCCCTCGGCTGCTTCTAATAACCTTGCTCCGATATAACTGGAAATAAATTGTTCGGAAGTGATCGCTCTCCTTCGGAGGATATCGATGCCACTCGTCAAACGCAACGATCGTTATCGCGATTTAATTCCGAGGATGCGTACAAAAGGTAACAAGGTAGAAAAATATGTGGATCGATCATTTCTAATATTTTGCGCAAAAAAATTTAATGGGGCTATAATTAATTTATAAAAAAATCTTTGATCAAAAGAAGAAGAAAAAGATATTAATCAAATAACAAAATGTCAATAAAACATATATCCATGACAAACTTTAATTAAATGTAAAAACTTGGAAATACAAAGAGAATTGCGTTCCCGGGAACGTTCTCGAGCAGGACGCTAAAAGTCGAGCTAAAACACAGGACATTCTCCCGTATATACAGGACATCTAGTAACGCTATCTCATAGCGCCTTCTCTCTGCACTGCGTCCGACGAAGGCTCTCTCTCTGTCTCTCTTTACCGCGTAGAAGCCATTAAAGATCTTACCGTGCAACGTAGTTGTGGAAGGATGAAAATTGCCGCGGCACGGAAAAGAGGGAAAGAAGCTCCCCGTCGTTAAGAGAACTTTCAACGTGTCGACTTCTTCCGTGAATCGCGCAACAAGGTTCTGTTAAACTGCTCCTTTGTCTAGTGAACTAATAGCGGAACCGCCAGCGAGAAAAATGTCGAAGCGCCAGTAACGTCAGTTCTTTTCTTTTTTTTTTAACGAAGACATGCTTATGTTTAGAGAACCTCGTCTTCACGAACGCGCGTGCGGATTCTTTGAAAAATCTAATAAACTTTCTCGGCTAAGTCAAAATGGAGAATATCGAGAATATTTTTCAGCTTTCTCTTTTATTCTAACGTCAAGAAAGCAATAGATCTAATTAATGCTCTTTTAGTAATTGACGATGCCTAAAGGTCAATCGATTGAAAGTTGTTAAATTTTCATAAAATTCAATTACGTTTTGATTAACAGAAAACTAATTGTGTTTTCGAGACCCATTCATCAATTAGTTAAAAATTAACATACACATATAATACGTTTTAAATATTAACGATCAATAATGCCACTTTAATGCAAAGCATATAATAATGCTTTCAAAATCGTGGTGGGCAGAAAAAAACAGTCGATAAACATCATGTAGATATCCAGAGAAATTAAGTGAGAATAATTTGATATTGCAACTACAACAATTTGCTTATCTTCTTACCTTAAAGTCGCGACTTAATTTCCTTGCGTTTAGTTGGGAGAATAACGGTACATTATCCTTTAACATTCTGAATCTGATCTTTAAGTGAAGAAGCTTCATCCTCTCTTCACCGGAAATTGTCTCATCTTCGCTGATGTCTCGACTGCAAACATAAAATTAAAAACTCACGTTTAGATAGTCAAGAGAACAAGAATTTTTTTTCATCTTTTTTACAAAAATGTTTCAGATTTCTTCTCAATCTTTCCTCTTTAATCTAACCGCGATCTTTTACATTAACCTGTGACATTACGATAATTTTGTAATCAATCTTCAAATTGAACCATCCAAAACACATAATTAATAGATATTTTGAGTTTAGCTGTTAAAATGAACAGAATCCTGGATTTTGAGAGCTCTACATATTAACAAGGCAGAGAAACAACTTTGTAACTGCTCGTCGGCTGTTCACAAGCTGTTCGCAAACTTCGGCACGAATAAATTGAGAATACAGGTCGCGACCAGTTTACGCCTGACGAATCAAGTGTGCACGAACTTCAGTTGTGGCCATATTTGGAATACAGCCGCGCGATCAGACGATGAGAGAGTTCACTCGCAAATATTCATACATATATTTGCTACCATGGCTTGCTACCTAAGTGTATGAATTTATTCTCAAAACGAGCGAGTCGTGTCGCTCGAATAATAATGTGCTTCCATCTCAATCCGAGTCGGATAAAATTTAAAGTTCGTCTCACATTGTACATACATATGTAACGTCAACATTACGTCAAAATATTTTTCTAACTTACTTAAATGTTGATTTAATTTAAGCTAAGTGCTTGTAACCAGTCAGAAATGACAGCAACTTTTATGTAGATGAATTTTACTTGGTAATTTTTTAACCCCACGAATAGCAGAATAATAATATAACGAAGAGTGACTCATAATTCGATTATTATAATTTCGTTAATTCGATTGTGAACACACATGACAATGATGTTTTGCATAATGCAAATAAATTTCATGATGTAATGTCGCACATGTTACGAACGGCTCTTTCTGTCGACGCTTTCACAGCAGCTAACAGCGTCATGAACGTCGAGCGGATTTTAATTATGACGACGGAATTACGAACGAAATACAGTCATCGTTTGCAAGATCGTAGCTTCTCGGAAATCAACGGCTATTTGCCGCCAAATTACTTTCGTACGTGATACTTGAATAAGCGCTCGCGTTCGCACTCACACAGGAATCCATTTATCCATTACACACCAATACCCAGCAAGTAGCGGAAATTGTACGACAGGTAAGGATACCGTTCCGCGAGCGCAAAACATAAAGCTGCCGGCAATGAAAACTCGTCGAAGAATACTTTTCCGTTTTACGACCGCGTGATTACGTTCGTACCGGCGAAATGTCTTTCGGATTCTTTTACTCACAAGTTAAATATTTTCCAGGTTTAACGAGATTTTTCCCGTGAATCGGAACTCCGACGTAAACCGTTTGCTCTCGTATCCCTCGAATATTTTGCGACATCTCGTCGGAATGAAAAGACAAACACGAGAACAAACGCGGTAACGCCGTTTCAAAAAATTAAACGCGCGAGATTTAAGCGTTTCTCTTTTTTTTTCTCGACGACGGAAAACAACTTTATTTGCGCATTGCGGATGTAATTTTACTGACGTTAGTTCAGCACTAATTGTGTTTGAATATGCATCATAGTTTATCTCGAAAGAAGATTACTAGAGAATACAATATGAAACTAAATAGCAACCGCAGAAATCAAAATAGCACCATTATCGAACATAAATATGTCATTTTCACTCGCCATTGCAATCTAGACTCGCCAAAATTATATGTCGGTTTTAATCCTTGCTTATCACCGCGCGATACTGTATCCATATATATGAAAGCGACAATTCACTACAGTCAAATGATTGGCAATTGCGTCGCACGGCTCATCGATATGTAAAGGTATTCGTAAATATGGATTATTCGTTACTCGAATGCACAAGTATTCCATAAACAGAAGCTCGCTGGCGAGGCGCATGTATATCGATAGAGTTAGTATAAGGCGCGAGAGAACATATACATATAACAAACAAGCGCGCGTGCGCGCATGCATGCATGCATATATACATATACAACCCCGACGAGCTTCATTCTAGAAATTCAATCTATTCTCTCGCGTATATGGCTGCTTTTGCTCTCGGCAGCCGCGTGCGAGCGATTGATTTTTGTCCGCGACGTTCCAACGAGAGCCTCCGAGTAATTACGTACCGTTGACGTTTAATGGGAGCGACATTATTGGATTCTCGCTACTCCGACATTCATTCCCGGCCGCGTTATGACCGAGGAACGCCTTTTTTTCGCGCGAGTTCGTCGTTCAAGCTCAATGATGCTGGGAAACGAGCGTCTTTGTGCGAATGTACAGGAAATCGGTATATACATAATATAGTTGGAATTTATTTCGTCACATTTCCGAACAATAGAAACAATTATTTATTCTTGAAATTTTTATTCGCATTTTTATTAATCGCGTGAATGCGGTGCGCTCCCATATAAATAGTCAACCGCGGATGAATTAATCGCGTCCCCCTTTGATCGATTTAATTGCAGCAAGACGCGACGAGTTTCCCGATTTAACCAACGTTCCACGAGCGTTTTTCCGCGACGCGTAGTTCAACCCACTCGATACATCTGACGATGACGACAAATCGTTGTTCAACTCCTAGAAAGCTCGACTAGGTCGAGCAAAGGCCGCGCTCTTAATTTATGCGCAATCGCTCGGTCGATTTATTTGTTTTATAAGCCGCCTGTAATTGGCCACTGACAGCAGCTGTCCCGAGACCGGCTACAATATTCGCGATACATTATTCATGCCGCGACGATTCTCTTCTCTCCCGGCAATCCCCACGAGCTCGTCTAACTTCTGCTTGTCTCGCCTGTCTACGACTCGCGCGCGTGATACAAGCAACCCGCTTCCCTACGACACGCAGCATCGTCGTCTCTCGTCGCACGCATACCACATCTCTTCGTATACTTTTTGCTTTTCCGCTCCTCTTGCTCGCGGAGCTTGTAAACGCATCACGCATTTTCAACACAAGTTTTAGCCCCTTTGTAATATCAACTCGGCCGTTTCCCATAAACTCGACAGCTTGCGCACACGGAAGAAAAGTATCGTTCGAAATTTCCCCGGTGACCGGATTTCCGTAGCATCGGCACATTTTTGCCTAGTGTTTTATTTTCCCTTCGGGAAAAAAAAAAGATGCGTGTAGTCCTCATCAATTCGGCTGTAAATATCTTTCGAGTATTTTTCAACTTTTTTGTCAAAATAAAATAAAAGAGAAACGTGCAATAAATAGATTATTTGTATTATTTTTACAATGTAGCGCATGATCGAAATAAATTCGAATGACGTAACAATAATTTTATCGGACTTCACTGTTCTTAGTAATCTAGTTGTCAGTTTCATCGAACGTCGCTGTTCTTAGTAACAGCTGATCGTTAATAAAAATCACGAAAAAAAATTAATTAGAGCGAAATGTCTCTCTCAATTATCTTCAACTAGATATTATGAGAGAATATTTTCCCGAGCAATTCGATTGAATACAAACGCGGGGAATTGAAATAAAGGATCGGCGTTATAAATCGAGGGCGAGATGTGACGGGGCACAAACGTCGATTCCCGTGAAATTGATCGCTGCGACGTATCCGATACACGAGAACACAGTGTGTCGAGGATAATAATCGTTCGGTCGTGACAATCGATGGCAGCTTCATCGCCAGCGAATGATAGAGCTTCATGATCGGAGAAGGACAAGAGAGAAAGGGGATGACTCTCTCGGAAGAGCTTTCGAAAACACGTTTACAATGGTCGACGGATGGATCGACCATGAAATCTGCAAATCTTTTTTTGACCGATACCGTCAACCATAGAAATCAGGAATGTGCCTATTGTATAACAAAACGGGCCACACAACTAGAATTTCAAAATGTTCTGGCTGCTTCAAATTATTTTCACTACACGCTTCATTCTTTCTTGATAATGTTTAAAGATCAACGAACGAACGAAAACTGAGTAAACAAAGACAAGATAAAGAAAGCTCATAAATCAAAGATAATAAGATAATAAGTCTACATATGAGAAAAGAGAGAATGTCATATTTTATGACATTTTCCTTAGCACAGCTTTCAATAATTATTAACATAATATTGAAATATCGTTAAATACATGCACGTGGAGATGAATTGAGAATTAATATCCTTAATTAACAAATCTCATTTAAGCTTCACTTCTATTTATTTTGACCGATGTACGTTTAATGAGAACAAAAAAATATATGATCAATGAACTTTGCTATTCAAAAAGTCTGACAGTTCTTGATACATCACTGAATCACGTTCTCGACCTTCATATTCAAGAACCATTTACGCGCGATCGTCTGTAATACGATGGTATTTAATCTTGTTTGACGGACGATTTGTCGCATTTACACCAAGCGTGATGAAAAGAACGGTTAAAAGGCGCCGCTTCCGATCGATGACCACGTTATTCCCGCTCTAAATGATGCTAATATAAGATGGCGCGATTACTCCGATCAATGTGTAAGTGTGATGTGAAACTTTCTTTTTTTACTTCATCAAAACTTTTCAGAGATCAAATTTTTTTTTCAACACATGTTGAAGAATTTAAATTTAACAAATCCAAAAATTTAAATTGCCAAAATCTAGTTCATTAATTGTTTCGAAGAGTCTGACAGTTTTGAGAAAAGATTTCTTGTACGATATATTTGGCCATTAAAATTTTTACCCAAATATTTTTCGATATCTCTAGATCTGAAGGTTGTACTTTGATTTTCTGTTTCAAAAGAATCTCTTTTGTGTATGACAAGAGATCGAAATAATAGCCCCAGGTTCCTCGTAGCCATAAAGAGGACGCTTGTCGGTAGTAATCGACAAAAGGTACAGTGTCACGCAAAAGTCTGTCCCCTCGAATCAATTCTGAACTGTCTCGTGTCGAAGTGTTTCGTGTCGTGGCATATAACTCGACTCGACTTACTGTGATTATCCGCATGTAGCGCGCACGTTAATACATCCGTCACTATTATACTTTCTAATATTCGATAACAATAAATTCGTTCTAAAAACACCGAAGAAAAC